GGTAAACTGGGGGGGTGGAGTGGGGAGGGAGGCGGGGTGGAAGGGGGAACTGTGATTGGAATGTAAATTGAAATAAAAAATATACATATATACTTCTGAATTATTTTCTATGCACACAGGTAGGGCTTGACCTGTAAAACAGCAGTTTCAGGAAATTATGACCAAAGGAAAAGCAGGGAAAAGTATCAGTAAGCCCGTGGGTGGTGGCGCACGCCTTTAATCCCAGCACTTGGGAGGCAGAGGCAAGTGGATCTCAGTGAGTTCGAGGCCAGCCAGTATACAAAGATAATTCCAGGACAGCCAGAACTATTACAGCCAGAAACCCTGTCTCTAAAAACAAAAAGCAAACGTACACACAAAAAGGTGCCAGTGACAGCAAATGAAGAAAAAATCCATGATCAGAGGGCCAACTTCCTCAGCCTGGAGGTGAAAGGGGTGTGCTGTGCTCAGACGACAGCAAACCTTCAGAAGCTGGCCTCTGGGCTCTGGTGCAGCATCGACTCCCTACCCCAACAAGCCGGGATCGCCAAGGCTTGGTATTTTCATCTCTGTATTCATTCCCTCACTGGGCATGCATCAGGCCCCCATCCAGGATCAAGGATCCCACAGTGAATCAGACAGACAGGCCCTGCCCTTTCAGTGGGGCTCACATTACAGAGGGGCAACAGTGAAAAACCCGACTGATGAGAGATAAAGAACCTGTAAGCAAAGGTGGCAGGAGAGACGGCAACATTGTTGCTCTGCTGTGGTTTGTGTTCTGGGAAAAAAAAAAAAAACAAAGCCCTGGGTACCTTGAGTTCAAAAAAAGCCCTGGGTACCTTGAGTTCAAAAAAAGCCCTGGGTACCTTGAGTTCATGTCTTCAGCCCTAGAGCTCAGGACCCTGCCCGAACCAGGGGTGGTGCTGGACATTTGGGTGGGAATGACAGAATGAAACTAGAATGGACCCAAAGGACATGAACTGCTACTTGTGGTTGTCAGCAGGTCATATGCCAGCTTGAAACAGCCCTCCCCAGGACGATGTCACTTTGTCAGTATGTAGGGGGTTTTCCAAGAAAACACTCAGCTTCCATCTTATAACAAACTCAAAAAGAAAAGTCGTCAGAATTTACATTGCCATGTGCAAAAGAAGTATTTTTTCTAGACTACTTTGCTAGAATAATTTACTCTGTAACATTCATTTGAAAATATCTATGCCTATATATAGATATCTATGTTGAATCATATTGGCTGAATATATAGATATGTGTGTGCAAAAAGAGTATATGTGTGTGTAGCATGTATCTATTCACAGAGGATTTTGTTGCTGCTATTTAGAGACAGGGTCTTACTATGTAGACTTGGATGGCTCAGAGCTGGCTACGTAGATCAGCCTGGCCTTGAACTCAGATATCTGCCTGCCTCAGCCTCCCGAGTGCTGGGATTGAAATGCATTAGCCACCACACCCAGAAGTTTTTAGAGTTTTGATGAACAAATATAATATACTCCCAACTCACTGGAAGAGAAAAAAATTCGGCGGGGGAGGCTACTGTTTAATTCTGTAATAATACACTACATTTGGACATACTGAAGGGATTAATGGACAGCTAGCTCACTTGAATAGAAACGATAGGAAATGAATTTAGAGTTCCAAAGCCTTTTATGCAAAAGGTCAGATAGCAAATACTTTTGGCTTTGCAAGCAACATACAGCCTTTGTTCCATAATCTCCTTTGCATCTGTGTGTTTATGTGATTTATTTTTTATTTGCCTACAATGAAAATATAGATGTGTGTGTATGTATATATGTATAGGTGTGTATATATATATATATATATATATATATATATATATTTACATTTGTCCTTAGCTCCTGAGTCAAATAGCCCCCCACTGTTTATTGATTTCCATCTTCCAGCACAAAAAACGAGATGTGAGGAGTCCCTAATTCCTAGCAAATCCAAGTACTGTCCCCGTGTCTCCCCGGTACCTCTTTGAGTTTCTCCAGCTCGTTCTGAAGGGCCTGTCTGGATATCTCCACCTCAATCATCTGCTGCCGGAGACTTTCATTGTCGTCCTCTGCTTTCGCACGCTTCTCCTCCACAGTTTCCAGTTCGTGGTGCAATCTGACGGACACATCTTTGGCTACCTGCATTGGACATTTGGGGATAATCATTGGGATATGAAGTCTGGGGGGGATGCTAAGGGAATATTCCGACAGCCCCAGAGGAAGAATCCTTAGCTTAGTTGTAGCAAGCATTCAGGAAACATGCGACAGACAGACCTGTATATATATAATGGAAGACGTTCTACATGACGAGCATCCCCTGATCTAAAAATTGAACATCTGAAATGCTCTCAAATCTGAACCCCTTTCAGACACAAACACTTTGAATAATGAATATATAGTCTTAGTGTTCCTATTGCTGTGATGAAACACTGTGACCAAAAGCATCTTGGGGAGGAAAGGGTTTGTTTCACTTATAATTCCACAGTACAGGGCAGGAACTCAAGGCAGGAAGCTGGAGAGCAACCGATGCAGAGGCCACAGAAGCGTGCTGCTTACTGGCTTGTTCCCTATGGCTTGCTCAGCCTGCTTTCTTATACCACCCAGGACCTCCTGCCCAAGGGTGGCTCCACCCACAATGGCCTGGGCCCTCACTGGTCAATGTCATTCAAGAAAAGGTACTGCAGCCTTGCCTATAGGCCGGTCTCTCGGAGGCATTTTCTCAACTGAGAGTCCCTCTTCTCAGATGTGTCTATGCAGCACAGATATTCAATGTATGATTTAAAACATGAAACTACACTATAAAGGAGAACATGGCTTTTATTACGACAAAGCCACCCTGGATAGAACTGTCTCCTCATGGGGTATCGGCAATAACACCAATTCTCCTTGCACTCATAAGCTTCCTATCAAACAAACATTAAACCCAAAACCTCCTGTCGGTGGTGGTGCATGCCTTTAATCTCAGCGCTCGTCTGGTGAGGCTGAGGCAGGTGGATCTCTGTGAATTCAAGGCCAGCCTGGTCTACAGAGCAAATTGTAGGACAGCTAGGGCTGTTACACAGAGAAGCCCTGTCTCGAAAAACCAATAATAATAATAATAATAATAATAATAATAAAATAATTTATCTTATGTGTAGAGGTATCTGCCTATATATGTCTGTATGACACGTTCATTCCTGGTGCCCACTGAGACCAGAAGAGGGCATTCATTGTACATTACGGGACTGGAATGTTTGTGACCCACTGTGAGGATGCTGGGAGTTGAATCCAGGTCTTCTGCAAGAGCAGTAGGTAAGACATGTTGGGTAGGTGAGTGAGTGGAGTTACCACCTCAGATTCCTAGGAATGGGATGCCACGCGCGCATGCGTGGGAGATCACTCACCTTCAAGTCCTGCTCCAGGCTCCTGATGAGTTCCCCGTCCACCTGCCCCGTTTCTGCCACCTTCAGGCTCTTCTGCTCCGCCTTCCTGAGTCGGTACTGCAGGATCCTGCAGTTCTTGTTAGCTCGGTCCAGCTCTTTCCGGAGCTCCTGCAGCTGGTAACCATCCTCTTCTAGATAGCTGTCTCTCATCTCTTCCATCTCTGCACGGAGCTCATCCAGCTCATCCTAAGAACCCAGACACCACAGGTGAGCCAGACCCTGGCAGGAGTGAGCTAGAAGGATGTAGCTATCTCTATTCACCGCCCCAACCCATTCACACAACACACCGAATGCCACATAGGTACCCATCAGCTCATACCACATAACACAGCAAGGGACCACTGGAAATTCTCACATGAGGTGATAATGTCACCAAGTGTTCTTCTGAACTGAGGACCCTGAACACAGTCACCATGACTCCTTACAGCTTCCACCATTTACTGGCTTCCTTTATTTCCTTACATATCCAGAGGTGAAATCAGCTCTACAAATAACTAAACCTTCAGAGTCAAGCCAAGGGCACAATGTAGGCACTACGGTGAACCAGACAGACCTTTCGCCTTCGGTGGACAAAAAGTTTAGTAGGATAATAACTGTCGATTGCCCTGGAAGACATCTCTAAAATTTTATTTTTGATGATACAAATGTCAGCATCCAGTGATTCTACCCAGTGAGAAACATTTCCCACTATTTGAAACACACACTGGGTTTAGTCTCCCCCCCCCCCCCCCCCCCCCCCCCCCTTTCCCCCCCCCCCCCCCGTCTCCCTCCTGCATTTCCCACACCTCCCATTTTTACTGTAAAGATGAGCACGATGAGAACTCCCTGAATGCAAAAACCTTACATAAAATGATAGAGTCCAAACCAAAAATAATAATAACAAAGCTGGACAGTGGTGGCCCACGCCTTTAATCTTAGCACTCGGAAGGCAGAGACAGGTGGGATCTCTGTGATTCGAGACCAGCCTGGTCTACAAGAGCTAGTTCCAGGACCCCCCCCCAAAAAAAAAAGATAGAGTCCACTGTTCTACGATGAGCCCTGTCTGAGATGCCTTAGACCCCTACACAGATCAGTCTGAATATCAAAATGAAATTGTACTGTTTCCCATGCCATCAAACAAAACTGTGTTGTTATGTGACCTTCGGAAAAATCAGGATGTCCCAAACAGGCCAGTCTCAATGCCATGGTGGCACACTTCCACAGTGACAGGGTTTTCACCTTCACTGGGAGGAGGGTAACCTTGGTGACCAGAGAAGTACACTGCTATTTTCCTCAGGTTCCCTCTCCTTGGCCCTGCCTTGCAGGGAGACACACTTTGAAACACCCAGTCTGCTCTTTGCTCTTTGTTTCTGCTTTCTTCAGTCTGTCTGTAAAATCAACCTCAGTCCAAGGAACTCTAGTTTCTAAGGAATGAGGTGAGCTTGGTTCTAGAATTACAAACAAAACCACTTTATCTGAGGCTTCATCCCTGGCTCCCAGCTTCCCCGCTCCCCACCCCTGCAGCCCATACTCCTGAAAGTGTTATTATCATCTCAGTGGGTGACTCTCCTCCCAGGCTCCCAAATCTCAATCCTTATTCAGGTTTCTCAATCCTAATCCCAAACAGAAGCAAAGCCATCCAAGGCTCCACGCTTCCCAGCAGGCCTCCAATTCCTTCCCAGGTCTACTCTCCGGCTCGGTGTTAACCTTTACTATGCTAATTTGGTGACTCCATCCACTACCAAAGCCTCCAGGACTTGTGTTTCTCAAGTCCTGCCTGAAACCCTTCCCACCGCACTGGGCCTCAGGGCTCCTGGGGACTGTGTGCCTCCCCTTCTGCCCTCCTAGAAATGTTCCTGCCTAGATCCATGGGGGCCACGGGGACTCAAACCCTCCCACGAGGTGTGAAGTAAATGGGGTCCTCTGACCAGCCCCTGTCTGTCTATCTGTCTCTCTCTTGTCTCCCATCTCCTATCACCATTTAGTATTATTTGTGCATTTTTAAAATCTTTTTCAACCTACCCCAAGAGTGAGCTTTGGTGGCCTGAGACCTTGTCCCCTGGCTCTTACCCAAGGCGGCATAAGGCGCACAGCGGGCTCTCAGAAAACATTTGTGTCATGAGCACACAGGAAAACATGAACACGTAGGAAAGACCAAATCATCAACACAGTACAACTCAAACTTAACTGCAACTTTGCTTTGCTCCAATCTCGAGGCCTAGTAAAGAAAACATGCCCCCACCCCCACCCCAAACCAGCAAGTGTAGCTGCAGTATACAGAATATATATTCTACCGAATAGGAAATGTTTCAAAATATTTCAAGAAGGAGCAATTTCAAGGAGGAAAAGCATCCTACAAATGTTCATAGTGTGTTTAGTAATTGCTGATTCAAATGCCCACAGCGTAAGACACTCTCAGTCATTCCTGTTTACTCTGTTCCGTTAATACCGACAACTCGAGAGAAGCGAGTAACTCCCACCCACCCCCGGACGCCCTCCACTGCCCTCTTCTGCCCGGCTGTTCAGTTTGTTGTTCCGGGTTCTCACCACCCTCCCCAATCCAATCCTGATCTGTTCTCAAGGCTGGGGATTTGCTTACAAAAAAGAACAGGTTTCCCCACATCAGCGCCTCAGCCTGACAGGACCCTGGATGGAAAGAAATATCCTAAAAAATGAGATTATCTTGGGTAAAGATGAAGTAAAGGGAACACGTAGAAATACGGCGGGCAGGCCTGGAGGAAGATCTCTCCACACACCTCAGCTACACACAATGGCTTTAGAGCACCAATGTGGGAGCCCATCCCCCTAATCCCAGCTGGCAGCTTCCTCTTAGCTTCCTCCGATCAACAGGACCCCCTCCTGTGGCTTGCTGGCCAGCTAATCTAACCAAATCAGTGAGCTCTGGGTTCAACAAGACCCTGTCAGAATAGTAATAATAAAGTGGAGACCAGCTATCAACCTCTGGCATACACGGGAACACACATGCAGTGCACACACAAAAATACACACACAGAGAAGCCTTCACCCACTTTCAATGTTCAAAAACCCTCTTACAGACAGTTTTATGTTAACATCGAAAATATCACTATAAATCTAAACTAGTCTGCTGGGTGTGGTGGCACCTGTCTTTAATCTCAGCACTCAGGATGTCTCAGCACTCAGGATGGCCAGGGTAAGTACATGTGCTACCCTGGGGTTTTCAATCTGTGGGCCACGACCCCTTTAGGGTTGCCTAAGACCATCGGGAAATACAGACAGGTATTTACGTTATGATTCATAACTGTAGCAAAATGACAGTTACAAAGGAGCAATAAAAATAATTTTATGGTTGGTGGGAGGTCACCACAACATGAGGAGCTATACTGAGGGTCACAGCATTAGGAAGGCTGAGAACCACTCACTGGTCTACATAGTGAGATGACGTCTCAAAAAAAAAAAAAAAAAAAAAAAAAGCCAAGGCATGAATGCCGGGAATTAACTGTTGTGCTCTTAAAATGCTGTTTACATAAGAAGATAGAAGATACAGTTCTCAGATATTAAAATGTCCTTAGTTTTCACACAGGACAACAGGGTTACCTCAGCCACCCTGCTGTTGGCTATGCCTGAGAGATGAATAAATAGCCATGACCCACTAAAAAGAGTTTTCTATGCACCTTCACCCCTGTGAATGAAAATCCCTGGGAAGACACCGTGTCTGGCTGTGAACAGAAACTCCTGGAAGGAGTCTGTGTCTGCAGAGACTGGTGGACGGGCTGGAATTTCAGTACTGTGGGGAGATGCGGGGTTCAGAGCTAATCACTTTATCTTGGGCTAGTGTTAGACTTTTGGAACAGCCATGCCCTGTCCCAATCTGTATCTGAACTAACATCTCGTGATAATAAATAAAATCCCCCTAAAAGCTATTTACTTCACAGAGCAACAGCTTCCACCAATCCAAGAGCTAATAAGCACCCAGAGATTTCCCCATCGCTGTAACCACCTCTCTGGTGCACCCACCAGTGTTTTAAGGTTGCCTGACATGTGACTTTCTTTGTGCTGTAGAACTATATAAACCATCACTTCTCGGCCTTTTGGCTAAGATCAAGTATAGAGCTATATAAACCCAGTGGAACTGCTGGGCCATGGTCACTCCGAAGGGCTCCAGAACGAACTCTCTTAGTCCCTCTCAGATGAGAGCTGTGGTTTTTATGCTGATACCTCCAAATCACTCCACAGGCCATAGATAAACAGATAACTTTATTCTGGGCACAAATAACCACCTACATTAGCAGCACTGGAAACTAGAGGAAGACCAGAATTATTTTCCTTTCAACCACTGTTTCCATAACCTATAAATTTCTGAAACAGAAGGTACCCTATATTATGTACTTCACCCTCCTTGCTAACCCTAAAATAAGCCTCCATTTTTAGAGACAAAAAAACCAAACTGAGGCCAGGCCCTGTACTCTATGTCTCAGAGCTAATAAGGGAAAGCTGACTGCAAACATGGCTGTCTGCTACCACAGACACCCAGCTTCTATCTAGTAAACACGGCAAATTAGCTGTTACATGCAGGGCAGACGAAACAGTAACAAACCTACAATTGCACTTTTTAAAAGCCCAATGTCCCTGTCAATTAAGAAAAGTTGCCTGGCATTTAGAGCCTGAGAGTGGATGGCAACCCATCCACAACATTCTAGAGCAACTGGTACTCAAGCAAACACTGCCGCAGCCAGGGAAGACATAAAGAGTCTCATCTCAGAGGCCAGGAACCGGAGAGCTCAAATGTCTTCCTGCCACAGCAGGCCTGCTTCAAAGCTAAGCTGAGGCTTCAACTCTTTCCATGGCCTGGAAGGCTGTGCTCTTCGGTGATCTTCTAGTGAAAGTCATTAGTTACCCCCGAGGCAGATTACTAACCACTCAAGGTACTAACTATGACTCGGACTGGGGTCGTGGTGGATTGGGATTGTTCAAGCTAACACTACACTCCATTAACTTACTGACGGCATGCTAAATTACAGAAGACAGTGTGTTCCTGTACATTAGAGACGTCTACCATTTTTTTTTAATTTTTAGGAATATCAAACAAAGCAGAACGTGCCTTGTTTCTGCAGATACAGTCTTGATACAGTAAGTGAAGTTGAAAATGCCAATGTCTCCCACATGCATGCATTTTTTTAAAGATTTCCTATTGTTTTTTTAACTTATGTGTATAAGCCTGCATGAATTTATGTGAACCACGTGTCTGCAGAGCACAGAAGGCATGGGCCTCTTAAGAGCTGTGGTGAGGCGCCATGTGGGCGCTGGACATGGAATCCAGGTCCTCTGTAAGAGCAGTAAATGCTCTTAACTGCTGAGACATCTCTCCAGCCCCTGATGTCTTTTTACACATGGGATTTATAAAGGGGGGGGTCCTTAATCAGTAGTTTGTTTTTAGCATTAGATTGTTTGGATATATTTAAATATTAGGCCATTACGTTGTTGAAAAAAACTACTCTAGTTTGTAACTACATTTTCATGACACATTTTGACTTGTTAAAAAAAAATAAATTACACTGCATTTATTCTTGGGGGAAGATACACACCACATACTTGAGGAGGTCAAGAGAATTAACTTTCAGAAACTGGTTCTTTCTCCTTCCACCAGGTGGGTGGCAGGCATCAAAGCCAGGTTTGGCAACATCTGTGATGACCCACTAAGCCACCTCCCCGCCCATTAGCTATGGTTTTTTAAATATGTCATATAAAATAGATTCTTGAGGTTGTGTGAAGCTGTCCAATGGTTCCCCTTTGCTACAGATAACGAATCAAACCTTATATTAGACATCAAATTGGAAGCGTTTGGGGTGCCATGTGTGCAGGTGAGTAAAACAATTTTATCCAAAATAACCAATTCCAGGATTTCTTGGTATAATTAACTAAAATCTAGATCATACTACTATATTCAAGTCTCATTTCACTTAACCAAAGATTAATGGCATGTATGTGTGAAAGTGCCACAACGAAATCCATCTATCACTTTGTACTTGAACTGAAGAAAAGATCAGTAACTATCTAATGTTATCATAACATTAACTACTCCTTGCAAACAGACCCAGTGGAAACACTGTTTTAACAGTTTTTAGCTACTGTTGCAATAGTCGCCTCTTCTGGGAGTTCAGGGCAGAAACTGCTATCTTTTGTCATATAGGAATAATCTGCCTCCTTTCCTTTGGGACAATGGCAATGCTCTGTGCAGAGGACCAGCTGTGGCTGAGCAGGCCCAGGGACTGCCACTATTGTTTACTAAGGGACAGTCCAGCCGGCAGCTGAGTGGCTACTGTGGGGACCACAGCATCTTACCACCTAAGATTAGCATATTGGTTCTTTCAAGGCTGAATAAAGAATGCCTATGTGAAGCAGGATGTTGGAAGAATAAATACTAACCATGTTAACACCTCCCCAAGAAATAGGATGGGGAGGGGAGGGGAGGGGAAGGAGAGGGGAGGGGAGGGAAGGGGAGAGAAGGAGGGGCTGAGATGCTAGTCCTTGCCTACATCAACACCCTACCCTCCGGCCATGCTGAGCACCTGCCATCCAGCCAGCCAAATGGAACAAACCATGTCTGCCAGAAACTAAAAATCTCTCCCAGACCTCAGGGTGTTCTTGGTGCCAAGTCTGTGCTTAGTACACAGATGACAGGGGTTCAATCCACATCACCTCCTGAAAACCTAAAACCTCAATGACCTCTCTTTAAGACATTACTCCTCCCAAGAAGCCAGTCATCTGTCCTCATGTTTTTACATCAAAGGGATTCTTAGAAATAACTCAAAGCAGAGCAGAAAGAAACAGCCCTTCCTATCCCAACACTGGGCCACCACACAGGACATCAGAGGGAGTGCCCACTGTCCAGAGGCAGGTTGTGAGCACATCATATAGTAAAAAGTAAACCCACCAACAAACTCAGTGATTACCACAGGAAAAGCCCATAGACACGGAGGACACAATTAATATGTGAAGAGTGAGCAGCCCCGCCTGCCTGCTTGTCCCAGAGCACTCAAGCAACATGCCAGGCAGGGAGGAACCAAGCCAGCATTTTGTGAAGTCTGTCCTCAGCATTAAGAAACTTGTCTGGGTTTGTCTAGAAAAGACCCAAAGGCATTGGCCTTAATTTCTGAATATTATCGTGAGTTCATCAGAGGTCAAAGGACACCCCAAGTGTGTTTCTGCTTGTATTTTCATGCACAGACAAGCCACCTGAACTGAGGCATTCTGCTTTTTTCATCTTATTATCTAGTGCCCTTTTTGATGTAAGAGCAGACAGGGTCAGAGATGACCCTACATGCTCCGGACAGCAGAAGAGAATGTGTACTCAACCAAGAGATGTCCTTTCAATATCCTGACCAAGGAGACATCCTTCCAGAATAATGTCGACCTAACTTTCTTATTCCAGACACCTCGGTTAATTCTGCAAGTCCTGCACCACCATGGTCGCAGCTCAGAAAAATCACGTAATGTATGGAGTAGCCACAGCCATCCAGAACCTATAGATGTAAAATCTCTGCACAAACTTTCTTATTAGAGGACATTGGGGCAGACAGATGCTGTCTCAGGAGTTCTGTGTAAGAAACACGAGTTCTTCTACCAATGGGAGGGAGGAGGGGGGCAAGGTAAAAGGCAAGATTAAGTTTATAATACATACATTCTAGCTACATGTGCAACAAAGGAATGACCACACCTTCTGAGGTCATTGCCATGAGGTCCGACCAATTTCTACGCAAGGGGGCAGGCTCGCTGATGGGCAGGGAAGTCCATTAGGACTCTTCACTCTTGGAAATTGATTTACTCTTTTGGAAATTGAACTACTATATATAACTCAAGCTTCCAAAGGACCCAGCAGACACACGGCATACATACACAGGCATTATTCTGCTTCCTGTTCTCCTTCAGACCCTGTCTAACCAATTCTATCTCCTGCTGTCCAAGGAAAGGCTGAAGGATAGACTCTACAGGCTCAGCTAACAGGCTGCCAGGACACTTTCTCCCTGGAAAGCAGCAACACAACATTTGTTGCAAATCAAACCTTAGAGCGGAATTTTTGTAGCCCTTCGAACACAGGCCAGTGAGACATACTCATATAGGCCTTTCACCTGAGAAGAAAACAGAGGTCCCCTAGGAAAGCTAAAAAAAAAAAAAAGAAGAAGAAGAAGCTCTGAGGCATTGCACGGTATACGCCAGCTTTGCTGCCAAGTGGAGTGCAGCCTGGTGGGCAGGCTCTGGAAGGGGCAACAGAAGGGAGCACCACTTTTTTGGCAGGGTAGCCCTGGGCAAAGCATAGTGTCTGATACCTAGCATTCTGCCTGAGGAATTGGAATTGTGACGTAACAGCAGCAGGGTCTGGAGGGCGTGGGGCAGTAGCACAGATCTTGCTTAGCATGCTCAGGCCGGAGAGTTCTACACCTAGAATGGTGGTGTGTGGAGGAAATGGGCAAAACCCAATTCGTGTGGTGAGGGTCCAGTGAAATGACAAATGCATAGAAATCAGACTCCAAGGTCAGATGGCTGTTTTCCCTCACTGAGGATCTAATCGTGCATTTCAAATCAAGTATGTAGGCAAAGCAAATAAGGCGGCAATCAAGAATTAGCTTAGAAATGGTGTCTTAAGTTGCCTGCTCTGAGATCAAGGATGCTGTGACAGTTTCTTTAAAGAAAACTTCGGGTTTTTTTTTTGCCCAGTAGTTTGAATCCTGCAGAACTACTGCAGGTCATAGTCCGTGAGTTAAGCCTACTGCTGGGGCTGCAAACGCATGATTTCCTCTCCCACCCTGCACCCTGCGGGACTGTGTTTAACTAGGCATCTGCACAGCGTTACAGCTGCCTTTTCTGTCCACACCTCTGAAACAAATGCACTCTGCTGCTATCTATTACATAAGACCAAGCGACAAGAGCAAACACACTATCGGAAGCATCCCCAGTGCCTGTTCTCGCTTCCGTCTGCCTTGCTACACCTATGATAACCTCATTACTGGACTCAAGAGTCACTTCTGATAAACCATTTGGGTTCAGAGGACCCACCATGAAGGTGTTCATTCCAGCTTGAGTTGTACATTTCACCACCGTCACCTCAAAACCCTGAACCTCCATCCCAGCCTCAATCAGGCAGGTTCAACACCTGCTAACGAAAATCGCACAACCATGGGCGGCCTGGCTCTGGGCAGGATATTCATGATCTTAACAGAGGAGTGAACAGATTTACATTCCTGGAGTTATTTACTAACCTAAGGATCACAACAAATTAGGTCACTTTCACTACCTCCCCCCTTCGTTTTCTCTTATCCAACCATCTCCACTGTCCTTAACTCACCCCCAACGTTGTTTAAACCCTCTCCTACAGGCCAGCCCTGGGGAGAAGATGGAGTCCGATTATTTGTCCCAATGTTAACCAGACAAGACCATGGCTAGCAGGCCACACTGGACAACACTCAGAGTGGAAGGCTGCAGTTCTTTCGAAAGAGCCTGTGTATCCTTTCTTGACACAGGTGTTGGAAGACTACTTGTGGTCACTTACAAAGGGCTGCTCACACACACACACACACACACACACACACACACACACACACACACACACACACACACACACTATCGCTGTCCCTGAACACAGGCCACAAGTTCAAGGCCCTTCGTCTGAATTTAACATCTGTTTATCACTAAAAAGACTCGCCCTCTCTGCTATACCCCAGAGACTTGGAGGATACCGAGTGGGGGGCCCAGCTTTCCGAACCCACAGGAGGACCTGCGGGTAAGTCCAGCACCTGGAAACCACACCACACACAAGTGCACGTGTAGGGTCGCGGCTGGGCTTCTAGGTGACCGTCAACAGGTGACAGTGCAGGGGTCAGTGTACTGAGAACGATTGACAGACACCTAAACGACGTCAGCGAAGACACGCAAGACTTCTTACAAACAGCAAGAGCCAAAGGCTAAAAACCAGACCTACAGGTCTTCCCACAAGTTTAGGGTTAAGTTACCAAAACCTAGTGGATATGGGGTGCAGTGCAGTGCAAAGTGTAAGAGGTAAGGAGTTAATGAGGCCCCCGGGAGACTGGGCTCGCAGGCCCTGAGGGCAGCCAGAGGACCCGGGGTCGGCCTCGGAGACACCTGCCACCCCAGAGACGCTCACCTTGAGGTAGTCATTCTCCGAACGCAGTTCCTCTATCTCCCTCAGCAGCTCTTCCTCCTCAGCCACCACCAGGAGCCGGGGCTGTTCGCCCAAGCCAGGCTCCCTGGGGGTCCCGAGAATCGTCCTCTCCGGTGGCGTTCGGCCCCCAACATCCTCCACAGAACCGGGTCCCGGAGACCCCGAGGGTGCCCCGCCTGGGCTGCTTCGGCCCCCGAGACTGGCATCAGCGACAGGGGGCGCCGTGAGCAGCGCGGGGGGCTCGGGGCTGCCCGGAGG